CCACTTCTACCCCCTTCCTCTCCCAGTCAAAATCTTTTGACATTCTAATTCAGACCCTTCAATCTTCACCACTATTCCAGATACTCCAGTCACTACTTCCCCGGTACCTAACCCTTATCCTCCTCGCACAATACAAGCTAAACACTCCCCAACCTCTCCCTCCATCCCTCAAACAATCGTTCCCTCTTCTCTTCCTATAAAAAAAAACTTTGTTTCTCAGTTCTCAGACCTCCTCAACCACCACCACTGCAGAAATTCTCGTAGACATTGAAAACTATCCAGTCATGACCCAAGAAATATGCCAACACCTCATCTATCCTCCAATCTTCCTGTTCCCATTCCTTTTACACACAAAGTAACTGCCGACACACATCCTCCTCCTTATACTTCCCCTATACCCCTTTCTTCCACTCTTCCAACAAATCCTTTTCCCTCCTGCTTCAGCTGCTTCACCATTATCCCTTTTGTTTCCCCCTGGATACACAACAGCCCCCTTTCCTAAATTATCTCTCTTTTATTTTTTTCCTGAAACTGTGATCTAATTTCCCTTAAATCCATTTCTACTTTGCTAATCCCTAATTTACCCTACGGACACCCTTGAAAATTTCCACACTTCTTCCTTTGATAACTTTGATCTAATCACCCTTGTTAATCCCTACCTTCCTAACTGCTATAAGACTTCTGATAAGTAGCACATTTAATCACCTCCCCCCTCTTTAGCCATTTCATTAATACTTTTTTCTTTAGCACTGTATGACTTATGATTTATTTTGCTTTGTAATCATTAAACATTCATAACATGCTTTCCACAACCTCCACTGCTCTCCTAATATATAAACTCATCGAACCTTGCCATCTCTACCCCTTCGAAGCGAATTATTTCACTGTCATCTCGGTAATCGGCCTTGGTCCTGCTCACTTTCAAGCTCCTTGTCCCAAATACATGCCTTGGTGTCTCCAGCTTTATCCCAAAATCACCACGGCATCTACAATCAATGTAGTCATAACAGGCTCCTGTATCTTATTTGTCAGTTTATCCATTATGACTTTACAAGAGAAAATGCTAATAGTTCTTGGTGTAGTCCCAATTTCACTCTAAAGTAGGCTGTCATTACCGTTACACACATTACTGTTGCCATAATGCCTTTACTATCTTCACCTACTTCTCTGTTACTCCCAACTTTCACTAGGCACCATGTAAAAAACTTTTTCCAAGTCTACAAAGACTCACTGCTACTCACAACTCTCCTAGGTCTCAGTTCCAGCACTTTACCCCTCATCTTTATTGCATGGCTTATTAATTTTATTCCTCAGTAGTCGGTGCAGCTTTGCACCTCGCTCTTTTTAGAAAGTTGGGACAACGACTAGGACTTTTCTGGCACCCTCTCGCATTCCAGGATGCTGTTAGACATCTCGGTTAGACATGTTCTTGCCATCTCTCCTAAGCAATTCCATGCTTCTATCGAGATGTTATCTGAGCTACATCTTTGCGTCCACTCATTCATTACATGGCTTCCTCGCTTCCTGCTGACCCTCCACTTTTTTTCACCTCTGCCTCTGCTTTTCTCATTCATTTTCATTGTTCATTAGTTCTTCAAAATATTTCTTCCATTATTACATAATGTTCTTCTCACTTATCAACTAGTTTCTGTAATCATTTTCACTTGTTACTCGTCCCTCATCCCCCTCTCTCTCTCTGTATGGCTAGTTAGCAAAGCTTCTCTTCTTCAGTGTTTAACTTTCAATATGGCTTCTTACATGCCTTTTCTGTTGCCTCTGCCATCCTCTTTGCTCGACTATGCACCCTCTTTATACTCCAGGTGGCTTTCAATGTCTCTCTCTATATTGTTCTGCACTCCTTTATTACACCACCATGTCTCCATATCTTCTTTCCTCCATCCAAATGTCATGCTACGTTTATTTGTCACTTTCTTCCTTAATCAATGTTTCTGAAATTTCTGCCCAACTGACCTACTTTCAACCAAAGAATGCCTCACCTATTCCCTGAATGTTGACCTATAATCCTTACTTAATTTTCACCATTTGATTCTTGGTTCTAGTCCTGGATGCCATTTAGCAGTCCGGTACCATTCCCCTTGACCTGCTTAGGGGTGTGTTAGTACCTCTCTAGAAGGGGAAAGGGGATCGGTGAGACTGCAGTAATCGCCAAGGCATTAAATTGCACAGCATACTAGGCAAGGTGCTTGCTCACATCCTTCTGAGACATATCGGATACATATTACTTACTCAGGAATCTGGATTCACTTCTGGTAAATCAACAATGTATAGTATCTTAGTGTTTTAATTTAAGAACGCCGTCATTTCTGTTTTGGGTTGCTTGCTGCCTCAAGAAGGCATTTGGCATGGGGCACTATGAATCACTCTGGAAAATCCCAAGACAGGGGAATTCTGAAAAGGATTAACGGGTTAATAGCATACCTGTATACTGGTGCATAAAGTGCTGTAAAGTGTGATGGAGGCTTATCTAACTTCTCCCCTGTGAAATTCAGGAATGATGTAGGGCTGTGCTCTTGCATCAATGCTTCAACACTTGCATGGACTGGATACTAGACAGAGCTCCTATCCAGTCTTTGTGGAGCAACACTGGATAATATCAAGCTCACCGACCAAGACTTTACCGATGGTGTTGCTATACTGAGTCACTGTTAACCCTAGTAGTGGCCTTAAGATGCAAGCAGCTATGAAGCAGAGACCTTGCGGTTAGAGGTCTTCTGGACCAAGACCCAAGATCCAAGACTTTGAAGGGCCTGCTGGGACTTGATCAGACCATATGTGCTTGTATTGAAGATACTGATGTCTAAGAGTTTTACATACTTTGTAAGTGTACTTCATGACTCCGCTCTCAGTAGACATATTAGCTTGGCACCAAGATGCTGTGGGCAAAATTATGGGATACACCTGTGGCAGACAAATGTCCCTAGTGAGACATTGTATTGAGTGACTTCAATGCGGTCTCCAGTTGTGACTGAGCTGGCCACGAGGGGTCTGCTGGTCCCCATCACTTGGGAGCTGATCTCAGAAGCAAGAACACCTCCTTCTCCAGGACTTTGCTAGGTCCCAGAGATTATAGATTTTTGCTCTTGATATCAGTGCTCTAGCTCACATCACTAGACAAGGTATAGCTACTGTGGCCAAGGAGATTAACCTCATTTATGTTACATCCACATGATTGATACATCAAACAAAACCTACCATGAGTACGAGTTGATTTCCGATAGTAACTCTTACGCAGTTAAGTTATCATCTCTTCATAAATCCCATTTTACTATCACCAGTAAATGCAACGGTAACTGACCACTGGCTCCATTCCCCCAAACTTGCTGAGGGGTGTGGTCATCCCTTTCTAGAATGGGTAAGATTTTTGCTCGCATTATTCTGAAATGGATCCGTGACCACCAGCTAAGGCACCAGAGACAAGAGCAATCGGGATTCTCTCCTGATTAGTCCACAGTAGACCATATCCTAACTTGTTGAGTCACTGTGGAACGCTGTTGTGAGTTTAGTCATGGTTGCTTGCAGCTTGAATCGACCTCAAACAGGTGTTTGACTTTCTGCATTGTGAACCTCTAAGGGGGATTAGGAGACTTTGGGGGATTCTGACAAAAATCATTGGATTAATAGCAAGTTTATATACTGGTACTGAAAGTGCTGTAAAGTGTGGTGGGGCAAGGCTGTATCCTTATGCCTTATACTTTAACACTTTTCAACATTTGCATAGACTGGATAATGGACAAAGCTACATTCAGTCACTGAGGAGCAACACTGGGCAATATCAAGGTCACATACCTTGACTTTGCTTACAATGTTGCTATCCTATCTGAGTCTTAGGAATTGCTGGTGGTGGCTCTTGATGCATTCAGCAATGAGGTGAAGACCTTGGGTCTAGGTGTCCTGGACCATGACTATGATCCAAGATTTTGGAGGCTTGTTAGGGGAACCCATTTATTTGATACATGTTTGGGGAGGAAGTTGAAGTCTGCTGTCAGACCAGGATGTCAGTAAATGGACTGGTGAGAGAGCAGGAGCCATGAACTTGGTTAACAAGTACTTCTGCTGGACCAAGCTGCATGGCTTCAAGGTCTTGATACTACCTGTTTTACTTTGTAAGCCTTTTGTGACAAAACCCTCTGTTGAATCATGGGGTACAGTTGGCAGGACCATCTGTTCAACCAACGGTTACTTTTATAAACCAGGACAATCACCAGTTGTCTCTTTATAGGATAATCCTGGGTGGAAGAGGTTGTTGTGACCTAGGCAGATCAACCAGAATGCTTGTGAGGAGTTAGATATAGACCGAAAGCCTGCCTGGTAGCTCTCCATGAGGAACTCCTGTGGCTAAAGTGAAGGGTGAATGTTATGCTGTTATGTTTCCTCGTCTGTGCTAGCTCCAATGATGAGGATATGAGCATTTGAATGGATTTGGCCAGGTATGTTACAGTAATAGGACAAAACTAATACTGGTATATTATATATGAATATATCCATTTTCATGGATTATAGAATTGTGCTTTTATAATAAAAATTATCACCTAACACAGTACCTTCATAGAAGGAAATGTAACTGCATCATATCACATTACAAAAAGTATGTAGACTACCAGTTTGCAATCAAATACTGTATTCCTAAACTTTGGTGATATTTAAGTATATCCACAAAGAAAGAATATTGGTTATGAGGGTATTTAGTGTGAGGCTGGTGTAACATTACTTGATGTGAACCAAGGACAACTTTACTCAAAAACCTTAAGTAAATCACAGATCTGAGGCCAGTAAATTGTGATGGTTGTAGTATCAAAAATGCTGCCATCATTGGGATATTTTCTTGCTACACATGTATTTAATTACATATAATTAAAGATTATTAGATTAAGAATAGGTATTAAAATAAAAAATGATTCCAATTTTTACTAATACAGAAACATACAGATTTAACTAGAAAATTTGCTGAACATTTCATTGTTGTAAAATGAAATTACACAAGTATATACAATATACAGAAGATTGCATTGCATACAGCAAAATATTAAAAGTAACAAAAACAGGCACATTGATCATTTAATAAATATTAACATATATCTCTTTTTAAATACAAAAATACACTTTCCTTTACAAAAATACAAAACATTTTATACTTTTATACACTACTGCTGCCTCTTACTTTCTGTGCTTTTTATACAATTCCAAGGCTCCTTGGATGGCATTTACCCCATCCCTTACCACTGCCACCATCTCCTCCTGGCTTGCCACCATCTGCTTCTGGTCTGCCACTAGCTCTGACAATGCAGTAACAATAAGTTTCTGGTTTTCCGCCAGCTCCGCAAGAGAATCGTTTATTCCTCCCTGGATAGTGTCCATTCCCTCTGCACTGGACTGGGTTTCCTCTATGGACAGAAATTGGAAAAATATCATCGCCTGACATAAACCTGGTTTAATGCATCAGTTTTAATCAGTCTTACAAACAAATAAGCAAAGATTTATCATGAGTTAAAAAAAAAAAAAGTGAAAAGAAAACAAAAGAAAAAAAAAAAAAAGTGAAACAAAGAAAAAAAAAAGAAAAAAAAAAAGAAAAAAAAAAAAAAAAAAAAAAAGGCTTTAACTAAAATAAAGATGACCAAGTTACCTGATGCAGAAGAAGTACTAGGACGACTGCCTTCCAGACTACAAGGATGTGTTGTTGGAGAATGAGCATGAGGTGTTTCACTGTTATACTCTGCTTGCCTCGGG